GTGTGGTGTGTGTGGTGTGGTGTGTGTGTGGTTGGTGTGTGTGGTGTGTGTGTGTGGGTGTGTGTGTGTGTGTGTGTGTGTGTGTGGTGTGTGTGTGTGGTTGTGTGTGTGGTGTGTGTGTGTGTGTGTGTGTGGTGTGTGTGTGGTGTGTGTGTGGTGTGTGTGTGGTGTGTGGTGTGTGTGTGGTGTGTGTGTGTGGTGTGTGTGTGTGGTGTGTATGTGTGTGGTATGTGGTTGTGTGTGTGTGTGTGGTTGTGTGTGGTGTGTGTGGTGTGTGTGTGGTGTGTGTGTGGTGTGTGTGTGTGTGGTGTGTGTGTGTGGTGTATGTAGTATGTGTGTGTGGTGTGTGTGTGTGGTGTATGTAGTATGTGTGTGTGGTGTGTGTGTGTGGTGTGTGTGTGTGGTGTATGTAGTATGTGTGTGTGTGGTGTGTGTGTGTGGTGTGTGTGGTGTGTGTGTGTGGTGTGTGTGTGTGGTTTGTGTTGTGTGGTGTATGTAGTATGTGTGTGTGTGTGGTTGGTGGTGTGTGTGGTTGTGTGTGTGTGGTGTGGTCACTCAGCCACTCGTTGCGGACTAAGATGTTACCGTTTCTTTGTTTGGGAGACGGATCTGTACCTCCTGCACCTCTGCGGAATACGGGAGGTCCGATGGACCGGGTCTGGCTCCGAGCCACCGTGAGGGGTGGACAGTCCTCCACTCGGGCCAAGGAAATTGCCAAACAACAGGGAGGGGGGGAGTGACACTTCCTTTAAGCAAAAGGATGAAGGGTGCGTTGGAACGTGGCGGTGAGGTGCGGGAAACTGTACATTCTTGGCATGTTGTGGGCTCGCCTCCTTATCAACATGAAGCGAGGAATGGTGGTGGTTGTGGTGGTTACTAACGCCCCCACTCCAGATGAACATCAGCGGGGAGGGATGCAGGCAAGGCCGATGAGTCGGATGCCTTTCATAACCACACGTCACAGGCGCTGGCTAAAGTGGCCCCTCGGGATAGAGTCATCCTCATGGGTGACTTCAATGCCCGAGTTGGTTATGATGCTGGCACCTGGTCTGGAGTGATTGGAGGGCATGGGCCAGATCAGCTCAATAACAACGGTAGGAGGCTGCTAGATTTTTGTGCAGCACATGGGCTTGTAATTACCAACACGTTGTTCTGGTATTGGCGCATTCACACAACATCATGGATGCACGTCAGGTCCAAGCAAGAACATCTGCTGGACTAAATTTCGATTTGAAGCTTTCGTGACTGCAGGGATTCATCTTGTTGGTTCTTTCGGTAAAGTCGCGTAGAAGGGAAATAATAAAATAATAAAAATAAAACATAATAAAATAAATCTCACGACGTTTATTGTTTCCCTTCTACGTGACTTTACCGAAAGAACCAAGAACATCTGCTGGACTACGTAGTGACGGAACAGCGGATGCGAGCCCATGTCCTTGACACAATGACCTACCGTGGAGCTGATCTGCCCTCTGACCATCGACTAGTCATCTATCAGATGCACCTGGCATTCTTCCACTCCGGTGTTGGGTGTCACACCCAAGACCCCGTTCAAATCCACCGTAGCCTGGTTTCGGCTAGCTGAGGTTAGTTGCAAGCGAGAATTTCAACATCTCTTTGCGGCTGGAGGTTGACTAATAGGAAATGGGTGAGGTTTTAGGACAGTGGTTAATGCAGCTGCAATGGCTGCTTTGGGTAGACGGTCCAAACATCCGCCGAGACCCTGGCTGACAGAGGCGGTGTTCAGGCTGGCTGAGAAAAAGCGACAGGCCCACTCTCATCGGCTACAGCATCCCACGTCGGAGAATGAGGAGGCTTTTACCGCAGACTTCGCTCGGAGGTTCGGAGAGCCGTGAGGCGCTGCAAGGATGGGTGGTGGTTGCGGGCTGGTGAGGAGATGGAGTCTGCGTCAACGGCCCGCGATCACAAATCGCTCTTTAATTCCATCAAAAAAGTAACCTGCAGTGCCACACCTACTACCATCATTCGGGGAAAGAACGGCGATCCAATCTCCGACCCCCAGAAACAGATTTGCAGATTTGCTGAGCATTTCCGTGAGGTCCTTGGGGAGAGGGTGATTCCCTCAATCTCGAAAACTTTATCTTCTTGGTTCTTTCGGTGAAGTCGTCACGTAGAAGGGAAATAATAAAATAATAAAAATAAAACTTCATAAAATAATTCTCACGACGTTTCGGCCACAACGCAAGCAGCCGTCCTCATTGCGTTGTGGCCGAAACGTCGTGAGAATTATTTTATTATGTTTTATTTTTATTATTTTATTACTTCCCTTCTACGCGACTTTACCGAAAGAACCAAGAAGACGAATCCCTGCAGTCACGAAAGAAGCTTTAAATCGAGAATTATTTTATTATGTTTTATTTTTATTATTTTATTACTTCCCTTCTACGCGACTTTACCGAAAGAACCAAGAAGATGAATACCTGCAGTCACGAAAGAAGCTTTAAATCGAAACTCAAAAACTTTGTGGGGCAAACTGGGGATGACCCTGCCGAGGTTGCCGTGCCTCAAATATTGGCAAAAAGTAGCCACCCATTCTGAGTGGATGGCTGAGATGCCATCTATGGGGGAAGTTTGCAGGGCTGTCTGGAATCTCAGACTAAGAAAAGCGCCGGGCAGAGATGATCTCCCAAGCGAACTGCTGAGGGAGGGTGGCGTTTGTGCGCAGACTGCCCTACATGACATCATAACAACAGTCTGGACCACAGGACGGGTTCCGCAGGATTGGAAGGATGCCCTGGAGGTCCAACTCTTTAAGAAAGGGGGACCGCACAGACTGTAACAACTACAGGGGCATCTCACTCCTCAGTGTGCCGGGAAAGGTCCTGGCAAGGATTATTCAACATCATCTTGCTAGGCACGCTGAGGAGAGGCTTGCAGAGCCCCAATGCGGTTTCAGGAAAGGGTGATCGTGCACAGATGCCATGTTTTCTGTCCGTCTGCTACAGCAGAGGTGTAGGGAATTCCATCAAGACCTACATCTCTGCTTTATTGACCTGATCAAGGCCTATGATACCATCAGTAGGCCTGGGCTCTGGGTTGTTCTTCGTGCTTTTGGAGTCCCTGACTCTCTGCTCACAATCATTAAGGTCTTCATGATAGTAGGCAGCCCTGGGTAAAACTACGTGGCTGGGAGTCGGAGCCATTCCCTGTTCACCTTGGGGTGTGACATGGATGTCCTCTGGCTCCCACATTATTTCACATCGTATTTCACCCCGTAGTTTGAGAAGCTTTCGATGGCTGCACAGAAGGAATTTCCATCTGGTACAGATACAATGGGAGGCTGATCGATGCCCGTGTGTGGTCAAGGGATGGCTCCCTATTGGTCAACCACGTTATGTATGCCGATGATCTGGTGATTGCTGCTCACTCAGAGGAGGAGTTGGAGACGCTGCTGATAAACCTGGAGCTTGCCACTAAGAGGTGGGGACTTACCATCAGCCCCACCAAAACTAAGCACCTGCCTGGGTATTTTGTACCATCGGAAACTCCACACCCACAACTCCAAATCGGTGATGAGGCAGTTGTGGAGAGAGTGGAGAGGCCCCAGTTTTACAGCAGGGCTCTCACTCCGAATCAGTCGAGCGGCATTATCATTTCATCAGCTGCGTAACGCTGCTGTGTGTGGAAGCTTACCTGGTCTGTCGCTCCGCACGAAGCTTCGGGTCTTCTCGGCCACTGTCATTCCCTGCCTTCTCGACGCTTGCGAAACGTGGACCCCCCCTCTCCGCCCCTAAATAAACATTTAGGCTGGCCTGCCTATGATCCATCCTGGGTTTAACCAGGCTGGACTGTGTGAGGAGCCCAGTAATCCTTGAAAGATCTGGGCAAAGTCCCATCGGTGAGCTCATCTGGCAGGCAAGGCTGCGTTGGCTGGGTCATGTAGCCCGCATGCCCTGCCACCGCATGCCCAGCCACCGCATGCCCGAGCAGATTCTGTTTGGGTGCATCGAGGGGGCTAAACGGGCGCGGCACGGGCTAGAGAAGAGATGGAGTGATGTGGTACAGGAGGACGTGGAGCTGAGTGGACTTGCCGATGACTGGTACCAGCGGTGTCAAGATCGGCCTCAGTGGAGGAGGCTCGTGAAGGACGCTACTGGGCAGTTGGAGGCAGTCGCCCTCCAGCAACAACGGAGGGCGGAGGAGCGACGCTCACAACAACGAGCGGAGTGCCGGGTGGCTAAAGCACAGCAAGTTGGCACAGTAGGGGACACAGGTAGTGCATCAGCCAGTCATCTCGGTCATCTCGGTCAGTCGACCCGTGGCACCTGCTGGGTCTGTCCCGTGACCCTCCTATCAACGATCCTTCGACACTTCACGTGGCCTTCAAGTGCACCTAGCCTGGCACAGGCATGCGTTGTGACGTCACTGCCACTTAGTGGCGAATGGTTGTTGTTGTGTGTGTGTAGGTGTTGTGTGTTGTGTGCGCGTTCTCCTAGCAACATTTGCCCCAACAGTCCGCCATTGTTGTTGTTGTGTGTAGGTGTAGGTGTTGTTGTTGTGTGTAGGTGTTGTTGTTGTGTGTGTGTGTGTGCGTTCTCTTAGCAACACTTGCCCCAAGTCCGCTGTTGTTGTTGTGTGTAGGTGTTGTTGTTGTGTGTGTAGGTGCTCTCTTAGCAACACTTGCCCCAACAGTCCGCCATTGTTGTTGTTGTTGTGTGTGCGTTCTCTTAGCAACACTTTCCCCAAGTCCGCTGTTGTTGCTGTGTGTGGGTGTAGTTGTTGTGTGTAGGTGTTGTTGTTGTTGTTGTTGTGTGCGCGTGTTCGCTAAGACTACTTGCCTCCCACCGCAACCTTGCGTTGAACGGCCACATGGCGCCACTCACCTTCTCACCTTCTGCAGATCTGTGGCTCGGCTCGGTGTAGGTGTTGTTGTTGTTGTGTGTAGGTGTTGTTGTTGTGTGTAGGTGTTGTTGTTGTTGTGTGTTGTTGTTGTTGTGTGTTGTTGTTGTTGACCACGTGGCGCGACCCCTTCTCTGCAGATCTGTGGCTCAGCGGTGCTGGGGGTGGCGCTGTGGCTCCGCTTTGACCCCAACACCAAGGACATCTTCAGCTCGCCCGACTCACCCTCCAACTTCCTCGTGGGTGAGTGGGGGGCACGCGTGTGTGTGAGTGAGTGGGGGGCACGCGTGTGGGTGGGTGGGTGGGTGGGTGGGGGGCACAGGGTTTGTGTGGGTGAGTGGGGGGCACGGGTGGTGCATCAGCCAGTCATCTCGGTCATCTCGGTCAGTCGACCCATGGCACCTGCTGGGTCTGCCCCGTGACCTCTTCCTGCACCTAGCCTGGCACAGCAGTCGACCCGTGGCACCTGCAGGGTCTGTCCCGTGACCTCCTCCTCCTGCACCTAGCCTGGCACAGCAGTCAACCCGTGGCAACTGCTGGGTCTGCCCAGTGACCTCCTCCTGCACCTAGCCTGGCACAGCAGTCAACCCGTGGCAACTGCTGGGTCTGCCCCGTGACCTCCTCCTGCACCTAGCCTGGCACAGCAGTCAACCCATGGCACCTGCTGGGTCTGCCCCGTGACCTCCTGCCAGCGGGCGTTCGACACTTCACGTGGTAGCCTCAAGGTGCACCTAGCCTGGCACAAGCGTCGTGGTGACGTCAACGCCACTTAGTGGCGAATGGCGGTTGTTGTTGGGGGGCCCACACGAGTGGGTGGGTGAGTGGGGGGCACGCGTGTGGGTGGGTGTCATGCGTCTCCGTGTGTCTGTGTGTGTGTGTGTGTCTGTGACTGTGTGTGTGTCTCTGTGTGTGTGTGTCTGTGTGTGTGTGTGTCTGTGTGTGTGTCTGTGTGTGTGTCTGTGTGTGTCTCTGTGTGTCTGTGTGTGTGTCTGTGTGTGTGTCTGTGTGTGTCTGTGTGTGTCATGCGTCTGTGTGTGTCTGTGTGTGTGTCTGTGTGTCATGCGTCTCTGTGTGTGTGTGTGCGTGTGTCTGTGTGTGTGTGTGTGCGTGTGTGTGTGCGTGTGTCTGTGTGTGTGCGTGTGTCTGTGTGTGTGCGTGTGTCTGTGTGTGTGTCTGTGTGTGTCTGTGTGCGTGTGTGTCTGTGTGTGTGTCTGTGCGTGTGTCTTTGTGTGTGCTGTGTTATGGGCGTGGTGTCCAGGGTTACGCATTTGGTGCGAGCTGTGGTCACCAGGAGAGATCCGTTAACGAGGCGTCAGTGGGGGTGTGTCTGTGTGTGTCTCTGTGTTTCTGTGTGTGTGGTGTGTGTGTGTGTTTGTGTGGGGGTGTGTCTGTCTGTGTCTGTGTGTGTTTCTGTGTGTCTGTGTGTCTCTGTGCGTGTGTGTGTCTCTGTTTGTGTTTCTGTGTGTCTGTGTGTGGGTGTGTGTCTATATGTTTGTGTGTGTGTGTATGTGTGTGTCTCTGTGTTTCTGTGTCTATCTGTGTGTGTGTGTCTGTGCGTGTGTGTGTGTGTCTCTGTTTGTGTTTCTGTGTCTATCTCTGTGTGTCTGTGCGTGTGTGTTTGTGTGTGTCTCTGTTTGTGTTTCTGTGTGTCTGTGTGTGTGGGTGTGTCTGTGTGTGTCTGTGCGTGTGTGTGTGTGTATGTGTGTGTCTCTGTTTGTGTTTCTGTGTGTCTGTGTGTGTGGGTGTGTCTGTGTGTGTCTGTGCGTGTGTGTGTGTCTGTGTGTCTCTGTTTGTGTTTCTGTGTGTCTGTGTGTGTGTCTGTATGTGTGTGTGTCTGTGCGTGTGTGTGTGTGTGTCTGTGTGTGTCTCTGTGTTTCTGTGTGTCTGTGTGTCTGTGTGTTTGTCTGTGTGTGTGTGTATCTGCGTGTGTGTCTGTCTGTGTGTATCTGCATGTGTGTGTGCGCGTGTGTGTGTGTGTTTGTCTGTGTGTCTGTGTGTATGTGTGTATCTCTGTCTGTGTGTGGGTGTGTCTGTGTGTGTGTGTGTCTGTGTGTGTGTGTGTGTCTGAGCATGAGTGTGTGTCTGTGTGTGTGTCTGTATGTGTGTCTGCGCGTGTGTGTCTCTTTGTTTTTGTGTCTGTGTGTGTGTCTGTGTGTGTGTCTGTGTGTGTCTGTATCTGTGTGTGTGTGTCTGTGTGTGTCTGTATCTGTGTGTGTGTCTGTCTGTGTGTCTGTGTGTATCTCTGTCTGTGTGTGGGTGTGTGTCTGTATGTGTGTGTCTGTATGTGTGTCTATCTTTGCGTGGGTGTGTGTATGTGTGGGTGTGTCTGTGCGTGTGTCTCTGTGCGTGTGTCTCTGTGTGTGTGTGTCTGTGTGTGTCTGTCTGTGTGTCTCTGCGTGCCTCTGTGTGTGTCTGTCTGTGTGTCTCTGTGTCTCTGCGTGTATGTGTGTGTATGTGTGTGTATGTGTGGGTGGGTGTCTGTGTATGTGTGTGTCTGTGTGTGTGTGTGTCTGTATGTGTGTGTCTGTGTGTGTGTGTGTCTCTGTGTGCGTGTGTCTCTGTGTGTCTGTGTGTGTATCTGTGTCTGTGTGTGTATGTGTGTGTCTCTGTGTGTGTGTCTCTCTGTGTGTGTAGTAGCAGTCAGCGCTACGAACCTGTCGACCCGAGTTCGATTCCCGTTCACAACCAACACCACCCAGTGACGATTATCTGAACCGGTCTTGGGCCTCCCCTAGGTCGACTCAGCCTCAAATGACTACCTGGTGTAGCGGAGTAGTGCGGTAAACATCGCCACTAAGGGAGGCAAAGGCACTTGCCCCTACAGTCTGTCACAGGCTATACGGGGGATCTTTGTCTTTGTGTGTGAATCTGTGGAGCGGTGGTGCTGAGCTCAAACTAAAACTATGAACTATTTTTAATTTTCTATTTTTTATTTTTGTAAAATCCCTCCCACTGCGCCATGTAGTTGTTGTGTTTCAGAATCATCATCATCACCACCATCCTCACCACCATCACTATCATCATCACCATCATCACCACCATCATCATCATCACCACCATCTTCATCATCATCACCATCATCACCACCATCATCATCATCACCACCATCTTCATCATCATCACCATCATCATCACCATCATCATCATCACCATCATCACCATCATCATCACCATCATCACCATCATCATCACCATCATCACCACCACCACCACCATCATCACCACCATCATCACCACCATCATCATCATCACCACCATCACCATCATCATCACCACCACCATCATCACCATCATCACCACCATCATCACCATCATCACCATCATCACCACCATCAACATCATCAACCATCATCACCACCATCACCATCATCACCACCACCATCACCACCATCATCACCACCACCATCATCATCATCACCACCATCATCATCATCACCATCATCACCATCATCACCACCATCATCACCACCATCATCACCATTATCATCACCACCATCATCACCACCATCATCACCACCACCATCATCATCACCATCACCATCATCACCATTATCATCACCACCATCATCACCACCATCATCACCACCACCATCATCATCATCACCACCACCATCATCACCACCATCATCATCATCATCACCATCATCACCAGCATCACCACCACCATCACCACCACCATCATCACCATCACGTGGACATTTATAGCAGCAGCCGAACACTCTAGACGCGTGGTCGATTCTAAATGTGGAAGGGAAAATCCGGAGACAAATGAACGCAGTGACCACCACGGAGAGAGAGAGACGCAGACTCCAAATCTACAGCAGCAGCAGGCGTCGTCAGGGTCAGGAATGGAACCCACGACCTCCTGTAGACCAGGCAAGGTAGTCAACATTTCCTAGTCACCGTGATGATGATGATGATGATGAGAGAGAGACGCAGACTCCAAATCTACAGCAGCAGCAGCAGCAGGCATCGTCAGGGTCTGGGATCGAACCCACGACCTCCTGTACACCAGGCGAGGTAGTCAACATCTCCTAGCCACCGTGATGATGATGATGAGAGAGACGCAGACTCCAAATCTACAGCAGCAGCAGCAGGCGTCGTCAGGGTCTGGGATCGAACCCACGACCTCCTGTAGACCAGGCGAGGTAGTCAACATCTCCTAGCCACCGTGATGATGATGATGAGAGAGAAACGCAGACTCCAAATCTACAGCAGCAGCGGGCGTCGTCAGGGTCTGGGATCGAACCCACGAATCCTGGTGGTGGTGGGTGGTGGTGGGTGGGGGTGGTGGGGTGGTGGGGTGGGTGGTGGTGGGTGGGTGGTGGTGGGTGGTACACACTCACACCTACACACTCACACATACACACACATTCACAATCACACCTACACACTCACACATACACACACATACCTACACACACCAACACACACACACATTTACACACACTCACACATACACACTCGCGCACACAATCACACCTACACACTCACACCTACTTACACACACATACACACACGCACACACCTACACACACATATATACACACATACACACCTACACACACCTACACACACATACACACACATACACCCCTAGACACATACACACACACCTACATACACACACATATCTACACACACACCTACACACGCACACGCACATATCTACACACACACGCACATACCTACATACACGCACACACGCACATACCTACACACACGCACATACCGACACACACATATATACGTACACACACATACACACGTACACACAAACGCATACACACACGCATACATACATACACACGCACACACGCACACACACACGCACACACACACACGCACACACACACGCACACACACGAACACACATACACACACACATGAATCACAATCACGCAATCACGTGGCCACACGCACACGTTTTCCACTACGCCTGGCGGGGTGACGTCACCCCCAAATGAGGGCGTGGTGGGGTGTGTGTGTGTGGGGTGTGTGTGTGTGGGGTGTGTGTGTGTGGGGTGTGTGTGTGTGGTGTGTGTGGGGGGGGTGTGTGTGTGGGGTGTGAGGTGTGTAGTATGTGTGTGGGGTGTGTGTGGTGTGTGTGGGGTGTGTGTGTGGGGGGTGTGTGTGTCGTGTGTGTGTGTGTAGTATGTGTGTGGGGTATGTGTGTGTGTGGTGTGTGTGGTGTGTGGTGTGTGTGTGTGGTGTGTGTGTTGTGTGTGTGTGGTGTGTGTGTGTGTGTGTGTGTGTGTGTGTGTGTGTGTGTGTGTGTGGTGTGTGTGTGTGTGTGTGTGGTGTGTGTGTGTGGTGTGTGTGTGGTGTGTGTGGTGTGTGTGGTGTGTGTGTGGTGGTGTGTGTGGTGTGTGTGTGGTGTGTGTGTGGTGTGTGTGTGTGTGGTGTGTGTGTGGTGTGTGTGTGTGGTGAGGGTGTGTGTGTGTAGTGTGGGTGTGTGGTGTGTGTGTGGTGTGTGTGTGGTGGGGGTGTGTGTGTGTGGGTGGTGTGTGTGTGTGGGTGTGGTTGTGTGTGGTGGTGTGTGTGTGGTGTGTGTGGTGTGTGTGTGGTGTGTGTGTGTGGGTGTGTGGTGTGTGTGTGGTGTGTGTGTGGTGTGTGGGGGTGTGTGTGTGGGGTGTGTGTGTGGTGTGGGTATGTGGTGTGTGTGTGTGGTGTGTGTGTGGTGTGTGGGTGTGTGTGTGGGGTGTGTGTGTGGGGTGTGTGTGTGGTGTGTGTGCGGTGTGTGTGTGTGGTGTGTGTGTGGTGTGTGGGGTGTGTGTGTGTGGGGTGTGTGTGTGGGGTGTGTGGGGTGTGTGTGGAGTGTGTGTGGTGGTGTGTGTGTGTGGTGTGTGTGTGGTGTGTGTGTGTGGTGTGTGTGGTGTGTGTGTGGTGTGTGTGTGGTGTGTGTGTGTGGTGTGTGTGGTGTGTGTGTGGTGTGTGTGGTGTGTGTGTGGTGTGTGTGTGGTGTGTGTGGTGTGTGTGTGTGGGGGTGTGTGTGTGTGTGGTGTGTGTGTGTGGTGTGTGTGTGGGGTGTGTGTGTGTGGTGTGTGTGGTGTGTGTGTGTGGGGGGTGTGTGTGTGGGGTGTGTTGTGTGTGGTGTGGTGGTGTGTGGTGTGGTGTGTGTGGTGTGTGTGTGGTGTGTGTGTGTGGTGTGTGTGTGGTGTGTGTGTGGTGTGTGGGGTGTGTGGTGGTGTGTGGGGTGTGTGTGTGGTGTGTGTGTGGGTGTGTGTGTGGTGTGTGTGTGGTGTGTGGGGTGTGTGTGTGTGGGTGTGTGTGTGGGGTGTGTGGGGTGTGTGTGTGTGTGTGTGTGGTGTGTGTGTGGTGTGTGTGGAGTGTGTGTGTGTGGTGTGTGTGTGTGTGGTGGTGTGTGGTGGTGTGTGATGTGTATGTGTGTGTGTGTGGATTGACGAGGCTACAGGGGCACCTTTGCCTGTGCCTCTAGGCGTCCACGTTTCTGAGAGCTGCACTTGCCCCATCAGTTTGACGAGGCTACACGGGGGACCTTTGCCTGTGTAGTGGTGTGTGTTGGGTAGTTGGGGGGGGGGTTCCACGTTTCTTAGAGTTGCACTTGCCCCCACGGTTTGACGAGGCTACACGGGGGACCTTTGCCTGTTCCTCTAGGCGTCCACGTTTTTTTAGAGCTGCACTTGCCCCAACGCTTTAACGAGGCTACACGGGGGACCTTTGCCTGTGTGGTGGTGTGTGTTGGGTGGTGGGTGGTGGGGGGGGAGTTCCACGTTTCTTAGAGCTGCACTTGCCCCGTCAGTTTAACGAGGCTACACGGGGGACCTTTGCCTGTGCCTCTAGGAGTCCACGTTTTTTTAGAGCTGCACTTGCCCCGTCTGTTTGACGAGGCTACACGGGGGACCTTTGCCTGTGTATGGGTTCCACGTTTCTGAGAGCTGCACTTGCCCCGGCTGTTTGACGAGGCTACACGGGGGACCTTTGCCTGTGCCTCTAGGAGTCCACGTTTCTTAGAGCTGCACTTGCCCCAACGCTTTGACGAGGCTACACGGGGGACCTTTGCCTGTGTGGTGGTGTGTGGTGTGTGTTGGGTGGTGGGTGGTGGGGGGGGAGTTCCACGTTTCTGAGAGCTGCACTTGCCCCGGCTGTTTGACGAGGCTACACGGGGGACCTTTGCCTGTGCCTCTAGGCGTCTACGTCCTGATCGGAGCCGGCGCGCTGATGATGCTCATTGGGTTCCTCGGCTGCTGCGGGGCCATACAGGAGTCGCAGTGCATGCTGGGAACGGTGAGAGGAGCCTACTGATCCTATTAAACCTATCTCGCCCTTTATCCCATAACCCACCCTACCCTTGATCCCATAACCCCCTCTAGCCCTGATCCTATTAAACCTCTAGCCCTGATCCTACTAACTCTCTCTAGCCCACTGATCCTATTAAACCTCTAGCCCCTGATCCTACTAACTCTCTCTAGCCCACTGATCCTATTAAACCTCTAGCCTTTTATCCCATAACCCCCCCCCCTACCCCTGATCCCATAACCCCCTCTAGCCCTGATCCCATAACCCCCTCTAGCCCTGATCCCATAACCCCCTCTAGCCCTGATCCTATTAAACCTCTAGCCCTGATCCTATTGATCCTCTAGCCCTGATCCTATTAACCTCCTCTAGCCTCGGCTGCTGCGGCGCCATACAGGAGTCGCAGTGCATGCTGGGAACGGTGAGAGGAGCGCCCAAAACTGATCCTATTAAACCTCTAGCCCTGATCCTATTAAACCTCTAGCCCACTGATCCTATTAAACCTATCTAGCCCCCTGATCCTATTGAACCTCTAGCCCTTTATCCCATAACCCACCCTACCCTTGATCCCATAACCCCCTCTAGCCCTGATCCTATTACACCTCTAGCCCTGATCCTACTAACTCTCTCTAGCCCACTGATCCTATTAAACCTCTAGCCCCTGATCCTACTAACTCTCTCTAGCCCACTGATCCTATTAAACCTCTAGCCCTTTATCCCATAACCCCCCCCCCTACCCCTGATCCCATAACCCCCTCTAGCCCTGATCCCATAACCCCCTCTAGCCCTGATCCCATAACCCCCTCTAGCCCTGATCCTATTAAACCTCTAGCCCTGATCCTATTAACCTCCTCTAGCCTCGGCTGCTGCGGCGCCATACAGAAGTCGCAGTGCATGCTGGGAACGGTAAGAGGAGCTCCCAAAACTGATCCTATTAAACCTATCTAGCCCCCTGATCCTATTAATTCTCTAGCTCTGATCCTATTAAACCTATCTAGCCCCCTGATCCTATTAAACCTCTAGCCCTGATCCTATTAAACCTCTAGCCCACTGATCCTATTAAACCTATCTAGCCCCCTGATCCTATTGAACCTCTAGCCCTTTATCCCATAACCCACCCTACCCTTGATCCCATAACCCCCTCTAGCCCTGATCCTATTAAACCTCTAGCCCCTGATCCTACTAACTCTCTCTAGCCCACTGATCCTATTAAACCTATAGCCCCTGATCCTACTAACTCTCTCTAGCCCACTGATCCTATTAAACCTCTAGCCCTTTATCCCATAACCCCCCCCCTACCCCTGATCCCATAACCCCCTCTAGCCCTGATCCCATAACCCCCTCTAGCCCTGATCCTATTGATCCTCTAGCCCTGATCCTATTAATCCCCTCTATCCTCGGCTGCTGCGGCGCCATACAGGAGTCGCAGTGCATGCTGGGAACGGTGAGAGGAGCTCCCAAAACTGATCCTATTAAACCTATCTAGCCCCCTGATCCTATTAAACCTCTAGCCCCTGATCCTATTGATCCTCTAGCTCTGATCCTATTAAACCTCTACCCTTTATCCCATAACCCCCCCTACCCCTGATCCCATAACCCCCTCTAGCCCTGATCCTATTAAACCACTAGCCCTGATCCTATTAAACCTCTAGCCCTGATCCTATTAACTCTCTTTAGCCCACTGATCCTATTAAACATCTACCCCTGATCCCATAACCCCCTCTAGCCCTGATCCCATAACCCCCTCTAGCCCCTGATCCTATTAAACCTCTAGCCCCCTGATCCTATTGATCCTCTAGCCCTGATCCTATTAATCCCCTCTATCCTCGGCTGCTGCGGGGCCATACAGGAGTCGCAGTGCATGCTGGGAACGGTGAGAGGAGCTCCCAAAACTGATCCTATTAACCCTCTACCCCTGATCCCATAACCCTCTACCCTGATCCCATAACCCCCTCTGCCCTGATCCCATAACCCCTGATCCCATAACCCTCTACCCCTCATCCCATAACCCTCTAGCCCTCATCCCATAACCCTCTACCCCTGATCCCATAGCCCCTCTACCCCTCATCCCATAACCCTCTAGCCCTCATCCCATAACCCTCTACCCCTGATCCCATAGCCCCTCTACCCCTAACCCCATTACCCCTCTACCCCTGATCCCATAACCCTCTACCCCTGATCCCATTACCTCTCTACCCTGACCCCTCACCTCTCTACCCCTGATCCTATTACCACCTCTAGCTTGATCTCATAACCCCTCTCGCCCTGATCCCATAACCCTCTACCCCTGACCCTATTAACCCTCTACCCCTCATCCCATAACCCTCTACCCCTGATCCCATAACCCCTCTAGCCCTGACCCCATAACCCCTCTAGCCCTGACCCCATAAACCCTCTAGCCCTGACCCCATTAACCCTCTACCCCTGATCCCATAACCCTCTAGCCCTGACCCCATAACCCTCTACCCTTGACCCTATTAACCCTCTACCCCTGATCCCATAACCCTCTAGCCCTGACCCCATAACCCTCTACCCTTGACCCTATTAACCCTCTACCCCTCATCCCATAACCCTCTACCCCTGATCCCATAACCCCTCTAGCCCTGACCCCATAACCCTCTAGCCCTGACCCATAAACCCTCTAGCCCTGACCCCATTAACCCTCTACCCCTGATCCCATAACCCTCTAGCCCTGACCCCATAACCCTCTACCCTTGACCCTATTAACCCTCTACCCCTGATCCCATAACCCTCTACTCCTCATCCCATAACCCTCTACCCCTGATCCCATAACCCCTCTAGCCCTGACCCCATTAACCCTCTACCCCTCATCCCATAATCCTCTACCCTGACCCCATAACCCTCTACCCCTGACCCTATTAACTCCTCTACCCCTGGGTGATGTTAGTGGCTGGGTCAGTGACACGCTGTGTTGTCGTACCCTCCACCACCCCTCTACCCTGATCCCATAACCTCTCTACCCCTGACCCTATTAACCCCTCTACCCCTCATCCCATTACCACTTTGACCCCTGGGTGGAGTCAGTGCCGAGTCTGTCCGCTGACCCGCTGTGTTGTCGTGCCCTCCACCACCTCCACCACCACCCCTCCCTCCCCCTCCCCCCCCAGTTCTTCTTCTGCCTGCTGGTGGTGTTTGCGGCGGAGGTGGCGGCCGGGATCTACTCCATCAACAACAAGGACAAGGTGAGACCCACAGAGACACACACAGAGATATACATAGAGATATACATAGAGATATACATAGAGATACACATAGAGATATACACAGAGATATACATAGAGATACACATAGAGATACACATAGAGATATACATAGAGATACACATAGAGATATACATAGAGATATACATAGAGATATACACAGAGATATACATAGAGATATACATAGAGATATACATAGAGATATACATAGAGATATACATAGAGATATACATAGAGATATACATAGAGACACACATAGAGATACACAGAGATACATAGAGACCCACAGAGACACACAGAGATATATACATAGAGATATACATAGAGATATACATAGAGATATACATAGAGATATAGAGATACATGTAGAGATATACACAGAGAAACATAGAGATACACATAGAGACACATAGAGATATACAGAGAGATACACATAGAGATATACATAGAGAGATACATAGAGATATACATAGAGATATACATAGAGATATACAGAGATACACAGAGATATACATAGAGATATACATAGAGATATACATAGAGATATACATAGAGATACATAGAGACACACAGAGACCCATAGAGATACACAGAGACACATAGAGATATACAGAGACCCATAGAGATACATAGAGACACATAGAGACACACAGAGATACACAGAGACCCATAGAGATACACAGAGACCCATAGATACCCACAGAGACCCATAGAGATACACAGAGACCCATAGAGATACACAGAGACCCATAGATACCCACAGAGACCCACAGAGACCCACAGAGACCCATAGAGACCCATAGAGGTACACAGAGACACACAGATACACAGAGACCCATAGAGATACACAGAGAAACAGGATAAAAAATCCATGCAGTGTCAGGATTTAAACCACGACCTCCTGTGCACCAGGCGAGGTAGTTAACATCTCCTAGCCACCGTGATGATGATGATGATGAGAGAGACGTAGACTCCAAATCTACAGCAGCAGCAGGTATCGTCAAGGTCCGGGATCGAACCCACGACCTCCTGCAGACCAGGCGAGGTAGTCAACATCTCCTAGCCCATCGTGATGATGATGATGAGAGAGAGACGCAGACTCCAAATCTACAGCAGCAGGCATCAGGGATCGAACCCATGACCTCCTGTAGACCAGGCGAGGTAGTCAACATCTCCTAGCCCTGTAGACCAGGCGAGGTAGTCAACATCTCCCAGCATCCTCCACTGCCCCCCCCCCCAACCACCAACCCCCCACACTGAGCTGTGCCCGGTGGTCCGATCCGGCCCGGTGCACAACGCCAACGTCAGACTGACGACGTTGACCCAACGTTGTGCCCAGCACCAAATGCCGACGTTCGCTGGGAAGCGCTCTCTGATCGCTCGCTCGCTCGCCCCACCCCACAGATTCCGCAGGAGTTCAAGGAATACTACAGCAGCCTGTATCTGCAGTACCTGAAGGATAAGTCAGACTCCATCAAGACGGCCCTCATCGCCTTCCACAAGGGGGTGAGCGCACGCCCGCCCGCTCGCCCGCTCGCCTGCTCACTCATTCACCCGCTTAATCACTCACCCACTCGCTCACTCGCTCGCTCGCCCGCTCGCTCACTCACCCACTCGCTCGCTCACTCACTCACTCACCTGCTCAATCATTCACCCGCTCAATCACTCACTCACTCGCCCACTCACTCACTCACTCACTGACCCACTCACTCACCCACCCACTCACTCACCCACTCAATCACTCACTCACTCACTCGCCCACTCACTCACTCACTCAGCCACTCACTCACTGACTCACTCACCTGCTCACTCAACCACTCACTCATTCACTCACCCACTCACCCACTCACTGATCCACTCACCCACGCACTCACTCACTCACCTGCTCACTCACCCACTCACACACTCACTCACTCACTCACCCACTCACCCACCCACTCATTCACTGACCCACTCACTCATCCACCCACTCACTCACACACTCGCCCACTCACTCAGCCCCTCACTCACTGACCCACTCACCCACTCACTCAACCACTCACTCATTCACTCACCCACTCACCCACCCACTCACTCACTGACCCACTCACTCACCCACCCACTCACTCACTCACCTGCTCACTCATTCACCCGCTCACTCATTCACCCGCTCAATCGCTCACCTACTCGCTCGCCCACTCACTCACTCACTCACCCACTCACTCACCCAGTCACTCAATCACTCACCCACTCACCCACTCACTCACCCACCCACTCACTCACTCACTCACCCACTCACTCATTCACCCGCTTAATCACTCACCCACTCGCTCGCCCACTCACTCACTCACTCAATCACTCAATCACTCACCCACTCACCCGCTCACTCATTCACCCGCTTAATCACTCACCCACTCGCTCGCCCACCCACTCACTCACTCACCCACTCACTCATTCACCCGCTTAATCACTCACCCACTCGCTCGCCCACCCACTCACTCACTCACTCACCCGCTCACTCATTCACCCGCTTAATCACTCACCCACTCGGTCGCCCACTCACTCACTCACTCAATCACTCAATCACTCACCCGCTCACTCATTCACCCGCTTAATCACTCACCCACTCGCTCGCCCACCCACTCACTCACTCACTCACCCACTCACTCACTCACCCGCTCACTCATTCACCCGCTTAATCACTCACCCACTCGCTCGCCCACTCACTCACTCACTCAATCACTCAATCACTCACCCACTCACTCATGCACTGACCCACTCACTCACCCACTCACCAACTCACCTGCTCACTCATTCACCCACTTATTCACTCACCCATCCATTCACTCGCTCACTCACTCACTCGCTCGCCCACTCACTCACTCACTCACTCACCCACTCACTCACCCAATCATTCAATCACTCACCCACTCACCCACTCACTGACCCACTCACTTCCTCACTGACCCACTCACCTACCCACCCACTCACCAACTCACCTGCTCACTCATTCACCCGCTCAATCACTCACCCACCCACCCACTCAACCACCCACTCAACCACCCACCCTCCCACTCACCCACCCACCCACCCACTCACCCACCCACTCACTCACCCTCCCTCCCTCCAACCCACCCACTCATTCACCCATTCACCCACTCACCCTCCCACCCAACCACCCACTCACCCACCCACTCACCCACCCACCCACTCACCCACCCACCCACCCATCCATCCACTCACCCACCCACTCACCCACCCACCCACCCACTCACCCACCCACCCACCCACCCACCCACCCACTCACTCAATCACCCTCCCACCCACCCACTCATTCACCCACCCACTCACCCACTCACTCACTCACTCACCCACCCACCCACCCACTCACCCACCCACCCACTCACTCACCCACCCACCCACTCACTCACCCACCCACCCACTCACTCACCCACCCACCCACTCACTCACTTACTCACCCACCCACTCACCCTCCCTCCCACCCACCCACCCACCCACTCACCCACTCACCAACAGACTCACTCACTCACCCACCCACCCACCCTCCCACTCACCCACCCACCCACTCACTCACCCACTCACCCACCCACCCACTCACCCACCCACCCACCCACTCACTCACCCACCCACCCACTCACCCACTCACCCACCCACCCACTCACTCACCCACTCACCCACCCTCCCACCCACCCACTCACCCACCTACCCACCCACCTACCCACCCACCCACTCACCCACCCACTCACTCACCCTCCCACTCAGTCACCCACCCACCCACCCACTCACCCACCCACTCACTCACTCACCCACCCACTCACCCACCCACCCACTCACTCACCCACCCACCCACCCACTCACCCACCCACTCACTCACCCACCCACTCACCCACCCACCCACTCACTCACCCACCCACCCACCCACTCACCCACCCACCCACTCATTCACCCACCCACCCTGCCACCCACCCACTCATTCACCCACTCACCACCCGTGTCTCTCTCTCTCTCTCTCCGTGCAGCTCAACTGCTGTGGCACTGGCAAGCTCTCCAGCGCCTTCTCATCGCTGGACCCGGGACTCTGCCCCAACGCCAAGAACTTCCTGGAGGCTGTGGTCAACCCAGACATGGTGAGTTGTGGTGGGTGAGTGGGTGGGTGAGTCTGTGAGTGGGTGAGTGAGTGAGTGGGTGAGTGTGTGGGTGGGTGAGTGTGTGAGTGTGTGAGTGGGTATGTGGTGGTCAACCCAGACATGGTGAGTTGTGGTGGGTGAGTGGGTGGGTGAGTCTGTGAGTGGGTGAGTGAGTGAGTGGGTGAGTGTGTGGGTGGGTGAGTGTGTGAGTGTGTGAGTGGGTATGTGGTGGTCAACCCAGACATGGTGAGTCGTCGTAGTGGTTGTGGTGGGTGAGTGGGTGGGTGAGTCTGTGGGTGAGTGTGTGGGTGAGTGGGTATGTGGGTGAGTGAGTGAGTGAGTGTGTGGGTATGTGGGTGAGTGGGTGGGTGGGTTGGTGGGTGAGTGGGTGGTTGAGTCTGTGGGTGAGTGGGTGAGTGGGTGGGTGGGTGGGTGTGTGGGTGGGTGGGTGGGTGAGTGGTTGAATCTGTGGGTGGGTGAGTGTGTGAGTGGGTATGTGGGTGAGTGAGTGGGTGGGTTGGTGGGTGAGTGAGTG